GGGGGGACACCGGGGGGACACTGTGGGGTGTACCAGGGACACTGGGGGCTCTGTGTGTGGGGTATAGCGGGGACACTGGTGTCAGTTTGCAGCTGTGCCTCCCACACCATGTCCAGAGAAGGGGCAGGACTCAGAGCACTCCCTGTCCCCACGCTCCCCACCCCGCAGGAGCCTGTGCGGGCAGCACCCAGCGTCCAGCGCCATGCTGGCCCTTCCAGCTGCAGTCCCAGACCTAGAGAAGCACAGACACAAACAGGGGCAGAACAGCAGGATCTGGGCCTGCTGTTTTATTGAATCCAGTGTCCCTGAGGCTCCCACGGCGTGGGCACACGGGGGTCTCATTCATCCTTGTCGGTGTCGATGGACATGCAGTTGTACACGGCGTAGCGCAGCATCTCCTCGCAGATCTTGGCCCTGGTAGAGGGAACGCCAGATCACAGCCATGATGGCCACAGAAAACCTCAGGCTTCCCTCCCGCCTGCCTGGACATCCCCCAGGGGAAGGCCTGGGGAGTCTTGATGGGTACCCCAACACCAGCTCCAGGGAGCGGGGAGCATCCCTATCCCCAGCTCAACTCACGTGGAATAGTTGGGCAAGAAGAAGCTGCAGGAGCATGTGGAGGACTGTGGCATCACGTCCCACGCTTCCGAGCTTGGGAGAAAGGAGAATCAGACCCCAGCACAGCAACCTGACATCATGTGGGGACCCCAGCACGGCACAGGGACCCCAGGCAGGACGGACTCACTTCGACCTTTCCGGGTAGATGTTGATCTGAACTGGGAGGCGGCTCCGGCCAGTGGCAAACTTGAGGAAATGGCTGAGATCCTCTGAGGGGAAGGACAGAGCACAGGCCTCAGGGACAGATCTGTCCCAGCAAGATCTGCCTTGCAGAATCACCCCAGGAGCACGGGGCAAAGCTAAGGGATCCTCTCGGAACCCCAGGAACAGGTATGACCCCAACTGCTTCCCAGGGAAGCACCTGGTGAGCACCCCTGGGGCACAGGGCAAGGGGAACCCCCTACCCTACCCCATCCTACTGCACATGAAGAGCAGGTAAAGGTTTGGGGTCACTCACCACTGGTGAAGTTGTTGA